CCAAGTCTGCAGGTGCCCAAGCTTGGATGAGGGTGCTCTCCTGCACCCCGGGGTGCAAAGCCAAGCACAAGCTTCCCCACAAGCAGAGATTGTTGGGGCAGATTGGTATCCCTGTGCAATAGTTGTGTACCCAGCAGAGGATGCAACCTCCCCATGCCATTGCAGCAGCATCCCCTGGGACAGTGGGGACACCCTGGGCTGGGCAGTGAAACCTGGGTGCACAGTGCTGCAGGATGTTGGGACCTTCCCCTGGGGCCCTGAGGCTGGGAGAGCCCTCAGTGAGGAGGTGTCTGATGAGGAACACAACACCCATGCATGGCACCCTGTGGCAGTGAGGGACCTGTGGACTGCTCTGACATCTTCACTAAAATGAATTTTATCACCCTGGAATTTCCTTCTTGGCAGGATCTGGGCAATAGGGAGGAGTAGGAGCAGGGTCCGTGGGGCTGGGCTATTCCTGCTCCAGCCTTAAATCCCACCAGAGCATCCCTATCCTTTGATCGGGGGTTTGGGACCTGTGATGCTTCACACCAGCATCTGGGAGAGGTTTGCAGCCTCATTTTGGAGGCAGGCTGCCCACTACTGAGGCTTTCTGTGGACAGGAGCACATTCCCCACCATGGCCAGGCTGAGGTCACCAGTCTCAGCTGAGAAGAAGGTGACAGATGCCATGGCAGCACCCTGTGCACTGCCCACCCTGTGCCGGCTGGCTGGGGATGTGCTCAGCTCCCTGGCTGGTGCTGGCTGGGGACCTGCAGCTTGTGGCACCACGTGCACGCTGGGCAGCTGGCACAGTGGTGACAGCACAGCCCTGCAGGATGCGGGCCAGCCTCATTAGCCGGCCAGCGGGCATCCCTCATTAGCAAGCTCCCTGGGGACAGGAGCAGGCCACGTGGCCTGGCAGGGGTGCCAGGCTACAGCAGTGGGATGGAAGGGGACAATAGGACTGGGAATGCCTCTGTGCCCTGTCCTCAGGCATGGGGAAGGGCTGGGAGCAGAGTGGGGCTGGCTCTGTTGTGGCACTGCACAGCTGCAGTGGCAGGGTGGTTTGGGGACAGACCCACATGTCCTGGGGTGTCCCAGGGGTTGGAGAGCAAGGGGGGGGGGGCAAGCAGGAAAGGGACCCCCCCCATGCACATTTCACAGGTTGTTTCAGAGACCAAACCTGGCTCATGATCTGCTCCCCTGCTTGGATCCTGCGGAGCGCTCAGTGTGGATTTAGGGTGCTGGCAGCAGGAGCTGCACCCTGAGGACCCCCAGGATCTGTTCTCTGCCCCAGCTCTCTGCAGCTCCAACAGCAGTTACCAGCATCTCCTCAGGTGAGTGCAGAATCGCCCACCCGCAGCATCCTGACTTCAGGTGCCCAAACCACCCACTAGCTCCTCCTTCCACCATCCTCTTCCTCCAGGCGATGGGTGCCTGGATTTTCTCCATGGGATCGACTGGACAGCACTGCCGTGGTCTGGACTCAACGGCAGCTCCTTCAGCTGGGGAACTGCAGCCATGGGGACAGGCTGCAGGAAAGTCCACATGGGCAGGCAAGCCTCCTTTGCTAGCAGCCTGGTTCTTGCAGACCAAGTGCCACCAGCAGCTTTTCCTGGGTGCTCCAGGGATGTGGCTAGCACTAGAAGAGCCTCCAGTCATTGACACCATTCTTAAAACACCTCTGGGGTGCCCTTTGTGTCTCTGTGGGGTTATTTTGGGTTTCCCAGCGTTGCTGCAAACAGCCTGTTCTCAGCACCCAACCTTTACCACTGTTCAGGGCTCTCCCTTTGCCTGCTCATAGCATCCAGCACCTCTGTGGACAAAGAGCATCCTCATCCCAATGCACAGGCTTTCCTCCCATGGCAGGGCTGGGAATGCGCTCATGAGGGAGAGATGGAAGAGTGGGGACAGGGCTGATGTCTCTCTCCAGGCACAAGCTCCTCCATCCATCACTGCTGTGGGATTCTTGGGGACACGAGGCCCAGTCTGCCTGATGGGAAAGGGACCTGAGCCCAAGGCAGGATGTTCAACACATTGGGCAGCAGTGGGATCCCCAAAAAACTCCCAGGGAGAAGGCAGGTGGGCACCACTTGGCATCTGTGGCTGTGGTGTGTGCCTCATATGATCGGCAGCCAGAGGGTGGTTGGACACATGTTTAATGGACACTTCCCAGTACAGCATGGAGGCTGTCCCATCCCTGGCTGCTTGCTCATTCCAGCCATGGCTCCAGCCCGCCTGCGCCCCACCTCAGACCCGGCACCTGAAATGCCCCCATGGCACTGGCGCATCTCCTGGCCTCACATATAGCCTGAAACTCTGAGATTGTCTCACAGCTTGAAAGGGAGGGAGTCCCTGAAGTGGGGAGCAGTGCACTGGCTTGGGCAGGGGGAGCTGAGTGGGATGGTGCCTTCATTGACTGAGCTGGGGAGGTGGCGGTGAGGCCATGGTGGCAGCACATCCTTGCCAGGTGGGAGCCACCACACGGCTGTGGGTGTGGGTTGGAGGGGGCTGGCCTTCATCCCTGGTGCCCATGGGGTGAAGTTTGCAGAGAATCCTGCTTCTCTGTGCCTTCCCTCCTGCCTCCTGGCCTCTTTCTTCGCCCCTGCCCTACGAAGCCTCCTCCTTGCGGATGGAGGATGGAGCAACCCATCCCCTTGTGCACTCCCAAGTTGTGGTTGCAGGAGGTGGGCGGCAGCTCCCAGGCTGCTGGTGGCTGCCCTGGGGGCCCCAGGGATATGAGCATGGTGGGGTGGGGATGGCCTCCCCGCAGTGGGGAGCCTCTGCACCCCAGGGCCTCCAGGGACAGAGGCCTCCTGCTGAGGGGGCCTCTGGGGCACCAAGGTACCATCCTGCTTCTCCCTCAGCCAATCAGAGCTCTCCAGGGCTGCACCTGCTCAGGCCTCCCTCAGCCAGTCACAGCCCACCACCCATCCTTTTCGGGCACCTCACAGCCAATCTGACATGGAGGCAGGGGGAAAAGCAGAGTGGCATTTTTCCCGCCAGCCAATCAGCATCTGGCTCCCCACCGGCAGGCAGTGGGGAGCCACGTGGGATTGGCAGGCAGGGCGAAGGGGGCAGGGCTTCTCTCAGCCAATGGGATATGTGGGGCAGGTCACCATGACAACGGGGCTTCCCCCATGGGGAAGGCATCACCAACCAAGATGGTGCCGGGACTGGCGGGCGGGCAAGAGGGGGCTAGGCTGGCAGCTGCAGGTGGATGGCAGTGCTGTTGGGGCAGGCAGCCAGGATGTAGGCAACGTTCTCCCGCAGGAAGCTGGGCCAGTCGACGCACCTGCAGGGATGATGCTGTCACACCGTCACCCCCTGGAGCCCCCAATGGGGAGGGCTTTGGGATGCCCACCCCACTGCCCCTCCACTCCTTCCTCCAAGACGGGGTGCACGCCACCCTCCAGAGCGGCCCCCTCTCCTGGCCTCCTCCTGCTCCGTGGCCAGCAGGATCTTCTCCTGGCTTTTGCCGCTGCCGCTCCTGGTGGGGCTGCTCTCTGACATGGGCCCAACATGGCTGATACTGCAGGAAAGCAGGGCACTGTTCATCCCCGTGGCCAGCAGGGAGTGGGTGTACGGTATGAGGGAAGGGCTGCAGCCTCTTTCCACACCAAGGTTGCCCCTCCGTGGGCATCTCTGTACCTGACGCTGCAGGATGGCGTCTCCTTCTGGTGTTTGCGGAACCAGGCATGCTGGGCCTTGTGGCACTCATTCTCTCCAATGAAGCCATCGCTGTCCTGGTCCAGCACCAGGAAGGCCACGCGTGCTCACTCATGCTCCTTGGCCGTCAGCAGCTGCAGCAGGGAGTTCTGGGGTCAGAGAGGGGAACAAGGAGCACTCATGCCAGGTTTGGGGACCCCCTTCACTGGCCAGGGAAGATCTGGGAAAAGCTGTGGGGTCATGAGCGAGTTGCAATGGACGCCCCAGCCTCGGCACCGTGGCCATACCTGCGGCCGGAGTTTCTGCAGCAGCTGGATAGACTTGTGGGAGAGGAAATCTGGCCACTTGATTTGCCCCTTCTTGTTGGGGTCCAGGGCAGAGAACTGCAGGGTGGCCCACTCTTCCTGTGCCTCCCCCATGGGCTGCTCAAACTGCTGTTTGTGCACCAGGTGCTTATAGTGCAGGAAGTCGTCCAGCGTCAGGCAGGTCTCTGTGGAGGCAGATTTGGGGCATCCCTTCCACCAGCCTTTCCCTGGGCATCTGGGAGTGCCATGCATCCCTCCCACCTCCCCTGCTTCCTCGACTGCTATGGGGGACCCAAGGCTGCCAGCCTTAGCAGAACTTTTACCTTCTGCTGGTCAGGGTAGTGGTGACACCCTCAGCCCAAGGGCTGCATGATGGGTGAGTGAGGGCTCAGCCCATCCTGCCGTGGGGAGGGTCCACACCTGGAATGATCTTGCACTGCCGCAAAGTCTCCATCAGGCTGTACAGCTTCTCTTTCGTCAACAGGAGATTGAGGTTGTCCTAGAGGGTGAAGACAGGCGTGGGCGTTAGCATATGACCACGGTGGGAGGGGTTGGTGTCATAGAATCACAGAACAGTTTGGGTTGGAAGGGACCTTAAAGATCATCTAGCTCCACCCCCCCTGCCATGGGCAGGACACCTCCCACCAGCCCAGGTTGCCCAAAGCCCCATCCAGCCTGGCCTTGAGCACTGCCAGGGATGGGGCATCCACAGCTTCTCTGGGCAGCTTGTGCCAGTGCCTCACCACCCTCAGAATAAAGAATTTCTTCCTTATATCTAATCTAAATCTCCCCTCTTTTAGTTTAAAGCCATTCCCCCTTGTCCTATCACTCCAACCCCTGACAAAGAGTCCCTCCCCAGCTTTCCTGTGGCCCCCTTTAGGTACTGGAAGACATTCTAGTCCCCTGGTGGCTCCCTGTCAGGATGGATGGCAGGAGCCGAGGAGCAGCAAGAGCCCCAGTACCCTGAAGCAGGCCATGACATGGGACTCTGCTGGTGTCCGTTATGGGCACTCACGCAGTAGTAGCAGCTCCATCCAGTCTCGGTGTGTGCAGTCTCCATCACCTCCATGGTACTGTCATTCTGCAGGTAGCCCATGTGGTGCAGGCAGCCATTGTGGTACACCTGGCTGCAGATGCGGCAGGGGAAGAGGCTCTCGGCTGTCCACACCTCACAGATCTCACACATCTCATCGTTGAGTATCAGCGGAGCGATGATCGGCTGCGGCTCAGCACCCTGCTCAGAGAGGCAGTGTGGGTGCTCCCCAACATGGGGGTACCACATCACAGGTGGGGATGGGTGTAGGGGTGTCAAGGGGATGGGAGGGCAGGTTTTTGAGGTGGTGGCACAGTCAACAGGTGTGTGGTGGGGTCATGGCTGGCTTTCTGGCCAGATAGGGTTAGAGGAGTGGGTATGGGTCCATAGGAAGAAAGTATATGGCTGTAGAGCCATATGTATGGATGGACTGTGTCCATGCATAGTCCATCCACTGCTGGCTGGACTATAGGGCTGTGGGTGTGAGTGGATGGAAGTTTTGATCTGTGGGTTAGCTGGTTGTAGGCATGGACAGAAAAGCTGTAAGGTTGTAGGTTGGCTGGGATGTGTGCTTGTAGTTGTGGGTGGATGGTTGGGTAGGGTTGCAGGTGTGGTTGGGCTGTAGGATGACAGGTGTGCATGGATAAGCTATGGGGTTGCAGATAGCTAGACTGTGAGTGTTGTAGGTGTGGGTGGTCAGGCTGGTCCATAGGGCTTGCATGGACAAACACGCAGAGCAGTGCTTCTGCCTCCAGCCTCTGGAGGCACACAGCCAACACCGAGGAGGCTGTCACTGCCCAGTGGGCACCATGGATGCTTGCAGACCCCCTGCGTGTCTCCAGCCCTGGCCTCCTCCCTCCTACCCCTGCTCCATGCTCAGCTGTTCTCCTGCTCCCGCTGCTCCAAGCTGATGTCCAGTGGCTCATCATCATGCAGCTCCTGCTGCGGCCGGATGAAGGCGGGTGGTGTGAACCTGTTGGCTCGGTCAAACTCCTTTGGCTCCACAGCCTGGCCATCCCACAGCTGCTCCCATGCAGCCTTGATGGCACTGCCCTCCTCCAGCTGCGAGGGCCCTGTGGGCACTTCCTCCTCTCCCTCTTGAACCGTCTGCTCCAGTGTCCCTCGGCACGTGCCCCCAGCCTCTGTCTGCTGCCGCGCCGCCGGCTGCTCCTGCAGCCCATCTTTGAAGGCTGATATGGTCAAGCTGACTTTCTGCACCTTCTCCACCGTCTGCCGCTTTGACATCAGCAACCCCGTGGCTCTGCAAGGGGGGGGAGCTGCATGCAGCTGCTGCACCATCGAGCCAAGTCCCTGGCTTCAAAAATGTGTCCTGATGGCTGTGTGCCAGCCACACGCAGGGAGCAGTGGTGCAGTGATGGCTGTGGAGAGATGGACCCAAACCCATGTGGAGACCTGGCTATGGAGGGTCAAGTGTTGAAGGCATGTTGCCTCACCCATCCCCACTCTGCAGGCTCCAGCTTAACAAGAAATGCTTCCAGGCCCTTCCCACACCAGGTCAGTGGACCCCAGAGGGCTGGGACCAGCTGGGACCCTGCCCCTTTCTTTCACCCACATGAGAAAACCTCTTTGATAAGCCAAGGGTGAGATGTGTCCTCGCAGCAGTTCTGCTCAGGGCTAGGGCATGGCAGAGCTGGTGCTGGTTCTCCTACCTTCCCTCAATTTCTCTTCAAACCCAGGTCTGTCTAGCTCACAAGCTCGTGTATGTGTGTGCTGCTGTGGCTGAGCTGTGGGAGAGCTGTGAGGGTGCAGGAGGGAAGGGGAGCAGTGCATGGACTTGGGATGCACAGAAGCCAAGAAGGGACTTTGGGTGCAGGGCCAAGGGAAGATGGGCTTGGGGTAAAATGGGGAGAGCAACAGCAAACAGGTTGGGCTCTGTCTCAGTGCAGGTAGACATGATCCCAGGCTGCAGAAGGGCTGAAGATGGGGTGGGCTGAGACCAGGGAGGAAGATTTCCTCTCCAGCAGCATGGGGCACAGCATCACCCAACGTGGGTCCCAACACTGCTCCATGCCTGGCTGGAGTTGCATTGTGGAAGATGCTGCAGCAAAGAGGAGCTCCCAGCTTGCACCCAGGGACAAGCTGGTGGCACTTTGTGATTGCGCGGTGGGGGGCATCGATGCAGCCATCTCCCAGCCCCTCTAGCCTTATGGTGTGACAGGAGGCAGGGAAGTCCCTGGGGGGAGTGGGATTAATTAGCACCACAAATGAGCTCACAGGGATTTTGTAGCTGCAGGAGGCCCCAGTGCTGTGGGCACTGCTGCAGCAGGGAGCCTTGGCACAGTAATTACAGCTGCCCCACATCAGAGCAGGGTGTGTGGGCAGGCGGCAGCTGTGGGTGGTGGCTGCTCTGTGCCAGAGCAGCCATGCAGTAGATGCACAACCCCACGCTCATACCTAGCCAGCCCCTGCCGCACCAGCCCTATTCATGTGCACGCACACATACGTGGGCGTGCAAACCCAAACACCACTGTGTACACTTGCACGCATGCGGCTTCCCGGCCCCCCAACCTGTGGGACCATCTGCACGCACATGCCCACACGTGGCGCTGGGTGCCCAACACGTGGGCCCCATCAAATGTGCGGGGGTACATGCATATGCCCCCCTGGGAGCCATGCTGCGGGTTTGACACTCATTTTGGCAGCACGCAGGTTTTTTTTTTTTGCACTCCGGGTCCCCGCACCCAGCTTGGGGTGGGCTGGCACCTGGCGCAGCTGCCCACGCTTTGCAAAGGTGGGAGCGGGGATGAGCTGGAGGCATGTGTCCAGGCCACCGCAGCAGCATCGCTGCGGCTGTGCCATTGGGAGGGAACTGGGTGTTTCTGCCTCCTCACAGCATGGCCACCCCCCGCCTGGGTGGCTCAGGAGCCCATTAGCTATGGGTAGGTTCAGCATTTTTCTGGGCAGCATTGCAGCTCTGCCTGTAAGCTGCTGAGGTGGGGGGCACAGAAGGTAGAACCCCCCAACCTCAAGAGCTGCCTTTGCAGGTCTCTGAGTGTCCCCAGATCTTGGCCTGATCCTGGCCTCACCCTGCCCAAGGAAGCGGGGAGGAGAGGCTGCAGAGGGGCTGGGCTCATGGAGAAGAGCCAAAAGAGAGGAGAGCCTCAGCTCACCGTGCACCAGTGTCCTCAGTAGCTGCACTGGTGCTCCTGATCCCCAGCATGGGCTCACAGCATGGCAGTAGACATGGAGGGTCCCAGCCCACCTCCCTGCCTTCAGCCCCTGGTGATAGCCCTCTCCCAAGGCCACCTTGCGTGCCCCTGTCACCAGCTGCTGTGTGGCTCGCATTGTCTAGAGGCTGGACCCCTTGCAACCTGCTTTTGCCCCTCTCTGGGTTTTTTGCCCCTCTCCCTCATCCTGGCACAGGCTGTCTGCACATCGAGGGGTTGAATGGCTTCACCCCTATCTCCATCATCCAGCTAGACCCAGGCCCAAAGCTCCCCAGATACCTCAGTGCTGCATTGCTCTCCCCAGAACCCCCCAGGATGTGCCGGGGGGGACATCACCCCCATACAGAGCCTCGCCCCAGCTTGGGGCTCCATGGTCTAGCTGCTGGTCTGGCTGTGAGGCTCTGGGTGTCCCCTCCTCTCCCGGTGCCCTCTGGATGCAGGGGGATTAGAGGCACCCCTGCCCATAGCAGCCCAGCTTCCTGCTGCCCCCACGATGGCTGCATCCTGCCCACCACATCCTGTGTCCCCATGTGTCCCCGAGGGAATCCAGCTCCATTTGCTATTAACAGCTGCCCTTCAAGGTGCCCGGTGGTCTGGGATCCAGTGTCACCATCCTGCTCGCCTTGGCACAAATATGGGGCCTATTTTTAGGTCACCCTCATCAACGAGATAAATCTGGGACAGAGCTGGCTGCAAACGCTTGGCTTCATCAAGGTCTACCGGGGGCTATCACAGTGGTTGTGGGCATCTTCCCCTCTTCCCTTGCCTTACCCTGGTCATCTACATCCTGCCTCATTCCCCTGGGCTGCACCGCTTCTCCGTGTTCTTCTGATGGGAAATGCTCCTTGCTGCTTCATCCCTGGATCAAAACACAGCTAGGAAACACTTCATCCTCCTGGAATCAATGGCTCATTCTTCCCAGACCCACAGGGCTCTCTGAGTGGGGAAACTGAGGCACAGTTGCGATGAAGCTGCTGGCCAGCATGAAGGCACCCGTGCCTTGTGCTGGGGGTGCCAGCATCAGATATATGCAGAGGTAAGGGTGGCAGTGGGTGGGTGACAGCACAGGTGGGTGTGGCACAGTGCATTGTGGGTGTTGTGGTGGCTGGGAGCACAGGATGGATGCTCCAGGGAATGACTGCAGGTGGATGTGTTATGGCGTGGCTGGGAGCATGGGGCAGGTGTTAAGGCCCGGTGGGGAGAACAGTGGTGGTTGTGGGTGCTGGGGGGCTGTGAGAAACAAAGCTGTGTTTTTGCAATAGAAGGTGTTTTTGCAGTGAAAAATTCCACTAACCTTGCATATTCAAAAGTGATTGTGCAGCATAGCAGTGGGGAGTATGTTAAGCAGATAAGGGGAAGGTCCCACTGTCCCGAAATAAGGAGGATAGCTAAGAAAAACAGGATGAGCAGTACAAAATCAGTAAAAACAAGAAGAAAAAAAAAAAGGAAAAGGAGAAATTAATGGTTGGTCAAATCAAATTGTACATATATGGTATAGAAGTGTGTCGAGTAGCTTGTGAACCTGTAGTACTCAGCCAATGAGGAAACAGGGGAGAAATCAGGTGTCAGGTAATAGGGAATATAGGGTTATGATAAACTTTTACTGTGTGCTCCTGCTTGCAGGACGCCCACCACTGCAGTCACAAATAAAATAGCTTCACAGAAAGTCCTGTCTGAAGAAAATTGAGGTTTTTCTCACAGGACTGCTGCAGGGGCTGTGGGTATGGCATGGGTGCAGGCTTTGGGTGGGGGGTGGGATGTTGCAGCAAATCTCTGGGCAAAACAAGGGCCAGTGGGTGCTTGGTACAGCCACAAGCAGGGTCCTTGGTACACCTTGTACTCATCCTCAAGGGGATGCAGCAGGGGTTTATCAGGAGCAGGACACCCCTCCTCCCCCCAGCTCCCGGCTGTTGAGGAAAGATGCACCTGCCCCCCCTACCCCATGCTGGCTCCCTCGGGCCAGGCCAGCTCCTTGCCCTCATAAGGCTCTTTGTGATTTTACCCCCAGCACTATGCCTGTGAGAGTGCTGGGGCCGCTGCCCTGTGGTGGGGCAGAATTAGGGATGGGGTGTCAATGGGGTGGTGACACCCTGGGGACCCCAGGACCCATGGCAACTTGGTCTGAAGGGCACCGAGCAGAGCTGGGAGGAGCTAACACAGCTCTGGCACAGCCCTGCCTGCTGCTGCCTGCCAGGGAACCCTGCATCCCACCCCCCTGACTGGGGCAGACAGGGGGGTCCCCAGAGGGTTCCAGAAGAACCCCCTTGTCCCCTCTCCTTGTTAGATGGCACATGCTGGGACCAGGGCGCTGCTGGGGCTGCTGCTGGGAGGTGACCCTGTTGCAGCAGAACAGAGGGGTTGGTGACATCCAAAGTTGGTGGCACCCTCCCCACACTCTGCAGGGGTGCAGGAGCCTGGTGGAGCGGTCTGGGGGCGGTGGGCAAAGCCCCATCTGTGCTGTGCCCCCCTCCAGGGGACACCCAGCTAGCAGCTGTGCTCCCTGTGGAGCACAGCTGGGATCCAGCTGCCCATCCTGCCACACCATGGCTGATTTTATAGGTGTGTCACACGTTTCCATCTCCCAGAGGGGGATGAAAATGCCGTGACAGCAGAGTCCCTTCCCCTGCAGCAGACACAGCTCCCGCCTAGCTCCCCACTTTTCCTTCTCGTCTCCCTCCTCAGCACCCACATCAGGACCCTGATGCCTGTGCGGGACCCTCCCACACCATCTGCACCCCTGCTCCCAGGCACCCCATCCCAGGACCGTCAACCTCCCCAGCACCAGGACCCCAGGGTGACCCACCCATGGGTGTTGTGATGCACAGCCAGCCCGCTCCATGCACCAGGCGAAGTGCTAGCGGCAGCAAAAAAAAGCCACTTACCCAGGGTCAAGGTCCTGCTTGGGAGCGGGAGCCCTAGAGAGCTTCCCACACGATGCCAATGGCAGCTGCTCCCAGCCACCACCTCCTCTCCATCCATGGGTGCTCACCACATCCTGCGCCCCACGTGCAAATCCCTGCCGGGGGATACGACAGTGAAGCTGGGATGCAGGGAGCCAGAGCCGCGTGCTCACTGCTGGAGGATGCAGGAGACAGTGAGATGCTGGGAGCGGATGTCTGTGTCTAGCGTGCAAAAACACTAACGCTCACTCACACACATGGAGGAAGCAGGAAGCTTGTGACTGGGGCTGAGCAGATGCAGCCTGGTTTGCTGTCCCTGTACCAATTGCTGCCTGAGCTGTGTTAAACAGCTCTCTGAGAGATGAAGCATTTTTTTTTAACTGGGCTGATGTTGGCTGGGAGATACCAATAAAAGCTTTCCCTGCATCTCCTCTGGCTCCGGAGCTGGGGTTGCATGGGTGTGGAGGATCAGAGGGCTCCCCTGCCCGCAGTTGGGGTCTTCCCTGCACCAAGCCCCAGCCACAATCTGCTTGTGGCCACTTTAACCCATTGCCTGCTCCTCACCCTGTGGAGAGGGGATGTGCTGGCTCCCAGCTCCATCCAGCCCCGTGTGCCTGGTGCAATGCAGTGTGAGGGGTTTTGGCTCTCCTGGTCCCCAGGACTGGGTGGGTGCATGCTCCAGGGCTGCAGCAGGGCTGGGGGCTCATGGAGATTGTGGGGAAGGAGCGAGGACGCTGGGCTGGTAAGGAAGGTGCAGCCCCAAAGCACCACTTCTGAGGGTGGGATATTTGCTCCATGTGCACCCCCCATGGTCACTCAGCCCCCAGTGCCCTCCTGGGACGGGTGCTGCTGCCTGGGGGTCTGCTGTCCTGTTCTAGAGGTGCCCGCTGTACCTGGGGGTGATTTAGAGTGCCAGGGTCTCGGAGTGTCGCGTTAAGGGGTGTAGCTGATTAATGGTTACGGGCCCAGTCGGATTCAGGGTACTGAACCAGTCGGACATTCACCAACAACACGTTAACCGTCTGGGGTCTGGTTGGATTCAGAACACTGAACTATCACGCTCACAGATTCACCAATAACGTATAACCACCCTTACCCTAGTTGCACTTAATGAGAGCTATCACAATGCAATCAAGTGTGATTTATTACAGCAACAGATAACCAGGTTCTTTGGATTGCCGGCGACAGTGACTGTCTGCAAAAGCAAGCTAGCATGCATGAAATACACAGGTGTTACAGGTGTTACAGATGTTACACAGGTGTTGTAGGTGTTACAGATGTTACAGATGTTATAGATGTTATAGATGTTATAAGTGTTACAGATGTTATAGGTGTTATAGGTGTTATAGGTGTTACAGGTGTTACAGGTGCGCAGCCTAGAAATAAACGCGTTGAAAGGATCAAAGACTCTATAGAGATTTATAAGCAAATATTCAGATCTCACCCAAAGGCATCCCAATGGGGGGGAAGAGAGGCTCAGCCTGTCGACTGATCCCAGGAGTCAGGAGGTCCTAAGGATGTTGTATTTCCTCGGGATGGTATCTCCCCTGACG